TTGCTTGCATTAAACCTGTGTATCAATTTGGGAAGAGTTGACATCTTTACTATGTTGAATTTTCCAGTTCATGAACACAATATGTTCCTTCTATATAGATCTTTGATTTCTTTAAATCAGCATTTTATTTATTTATTTTTTAAATATATTTTATTGATTTTTTTACAGAGAGGAAGGGAGAGGGATAGAGAGTTAGAAACATTGATGAGAGAGAAACATCGATCAGCTGCCTCCTGCTCACTCCCCACTGCGGATGTGCCCGCAACCAAGGTACATGCCCTTGACCGGAATCGAACCTGGGACCCTTGAGTCCGCAGGCTGACTCTCTATCCACTGAGCCAAACCGGTTAGGGCTAAATCAGCATTTTATAGTTTCCAACATACAAGTTCTGTATATATTTTGTTACATTGACACCTAAGTTTGTTTGTTTTTAGTGACTATAAATGGCATTGTATTTTTTATTTTGGTTTCCACATGCTAAGTCTGAATATATATATAGAATTGATCTTTATATGTTTATCTTGTATCCTGCCAAATTGATAAGCTCAGCCCTCCTTCCCTTTGAGATTTTTGTCTTTGATCCAAGGATTTTCTAGAAAGATCTTTTCAGTTTCCGAGTGTGTTTGGAGATTTTCCTGTTATCTTTCTAGCTTAATTATATTGTGGTTGGAGAACACATTCTGTATGATTTCAATTATTTTAAATTTGTGAGGTTTATGTCATGCCCCAGGATATGGTCAATCTTGGTATATGTTCTTTGGGTACTTGAAAAGACTAGTCTGCTGTTAATGGGTGGAATGTTTTATAAATGTAGATCAGAATTCTGTTGACTGATGTTGTAGAGTTCTACTCCTAATTTTCTGTCTAGTTGCTCTGTCAATTTTCAGAGGGGCATGTAGAAGTCTCAAATTCTAATTGTGGATTTGTCTCTTTTTCCTTTCGTTCTGTCAATTTTTGACTCAGTTTTTCCAGCTCTTTTGTTTTCTGCATACCTACCTAGGATTTCTATATGTTCTTGGTGGATTGACCATTTTATCAAAATGTCTCTCTATCTTTCTGGTAAGTTTCTTGGCTTCTTAGTTTACTTGATATTAATATAGCCTCTCTAGCTTTCCGCTGATTAATGTTTGCATGATATATATTTTCTATCCTTTTACTTTCAACTTGTCTATATAGTTTCTTATAGATATCATATAGTTGGGTTATGGTTTTGTTTTTTTGTTTACTCTGTCAATCTGTTTTATTTGGTTTTAGATCATTTACATATAATTTTGTTACTGATATGTTGGGTCTTAAGTCTGTCATTTTTCTCTTTCTGTTTTCTGTTCTCTCTGGTCTTAATTTCTCTGCTTTCCTTTTTATTCATTCTTGTAAGGTTACATGAACATATTTTAGAATTTCATTTTGATTTATCTATGTTTTTGAGAGTCTCCCTTTATATAGTTTCTTTAGTAGTTGTAGGCATTAGTATATACATAATATCTATATATGTATATACATGTATATATACGTTAGTATATCTGTATTATGTATTACACACGTATGTTGTATATAATTTATCCATTATATATCTATATATCTTTTCAGTGTGTTGTCATTATTTTATGTTCAAGTAAAACATAGAATCCTTACCTTTCTTTATTCTTTCCCCACTTACAACATAATTTTCATGCTTACTAGTAAATATTTTTTCAAGATATTTTGCTTTAACCATAAAATATTTTAGAAAACTGAAGAAATGAGAAGCCTATTGTATTTACCTATATTCTCTTTACCATGTTATTTCTTTGTTCATGATGTTCCAATATTCCTTCTTGTATCATTTCTTTTCTGTTTAGAGAACTTCGTTTAGCCATTCTTTTAAGGATAAGTTTGCTGGTGTAAAATTCTTAGTTTTCTTTCATCTGAGAATGTCTTGATTTCTTTTTCATTCCTGAAGGATATTTTCACTGAGTATAGAATTCTGGGGTAACAAATTTTTTCTTTCAGTACTTGAAAGATATGCTACTTCTCCTGGTTTCTGATTTTTTAAAATCTGCTATTGTTTTTCCTTGTAGGTAAAGTGTCATTTTTCTCTGGTTGCTTTCACTGGTTTTTTTTTTTCTTTAGTTTTTATAAATTCAATGATGTTTTATCTTTGCATAGATTCCTTGTTTTCCTCAGCTTCTTGAATTTTTAGCTTATGTCTATGGCCAAATTTGGAAAGATTACAGCCATTATTTCAAGTACTTTATTTCAAGTTCTACCCTTTTTTCATCCCACTGGTTTCTGAGGTTCTGTTTATTTTTAAGTCTGTTCAGCTCAGGCTATTTCTGTTGGTCTTACAGTTTACTGATTCTTTCCTCTGTCACCTCCCGCCATTCTGTTGGGCCATCTATGAGCTTTTTGTTATTCTTATTTTTCAATTCTAAAATGTCCATGTGGCTCTTCTTTGTATCTTCTATTTCTTTGCTAAGATGTTCTATATTCTTTGCTTGAGGCTATTCATTTTTTCATTTTTCAGTGTGTTCATTGAAACATTTTTATTATGGTGGTTGTGATGGTTAGTCATATGTCTACTTAACTGGGCTAAGGGATGTCCAGGTAGGTAGCCAAACATTATTTCTGGGTGTGCATCTGAGGATGTTTCTGGACAAGATTAGCATCTGAATTGATAGATTGAAGAAAGTAGTGGGTGAGCATCATCCAGTCTGTTGAGAGCCTGAATAGAACAAAAAAGCAGAGGAAGGTTGAGTTCACTCTGCCTGACTGTTGAGATGGGATGTGGATCTTCTGCCTCCGGCACTCCTGGTTTTAGGGCCTTCAGATCTGGACTGGCATCTACACCACTGGCTTTTAGGCTATCGAATGACATCACTGGCTTTCCTGGGTTCCCACCTTGCAGGCAGATTGTGGGATTTCTCCATAATCTTGTATTGATTTTCTTTTTCTGGAGAAGACTAATACGGTTGCTCTAAAATCTTTGTCAGGTAATTCTACTATTTGTCAGCCTAGTGTTGATACCCATTGTCTTCATGCAGTGTGAGATCTTTCTGGTTCTTGCTGTGACAAGTGATTTTCTATTAAAATGTGGACATTTTTGTTATGAGACTGTCAGCTGGCTTTTTGACACCACTTGAGCAGATTGAGGGGAGGGGCACTGCCTCATTACTACCCCATCATTCTAGGCCATGGTCAAAGTCCTCACTCTCCACCAGGCTTTTTCTGAACCACCCTATCAGAGCGGGAGAGGTGCCTCATTACTGCTAGTGGAAATGGAAGTCCAGGCTCCTGTCACCACAGGGGTAGGGGTCTTCATCATTGTCTGGTGGGATGAAAAGTCCAGTTTCCCTACTTGGCCTGTAGGATACTCCTAGATCAGTGGTTCTCAACCTTCTGGTCCTTTAAATACAGT